TTAGTACGCGGAGCAATCTGTAGAGCTGGAAGCTGAGAACTGGCGACGTTGTAGTGCAACTTTATAGTACGCGGAACAATCTGTGGAGCTGAAAGCTGAGAACTGGCGACGTTGTAGAGCAACTTTAGTACGCGGAGAAACCTGTGGAGCTGGACGCTGAGAACTGGCGACTTTCTAGTACAACTTTAGTACGCGGAGCAATCTGTAGAGCTGGAGGCTGAGAACTGGCGACTTTGTAGTGCAACTGTAGTACGCGGAGCAACCTGTGCAGCTAGAAGCTGAGAACTGGCCACTTGGTAGTACAACTTTAGTACGCGGAGTATCTGGGGAGCTGGAGGCTGAGAACTGGCGACTATGTAGTACAACTTATGCGGAGCAACTTGTGGAGCTGGAAGCTGAGAATTGGCCATTTTGCAGTACAACTTTAGTACGCGGAGGAGTCATCTCTTGCGACTGAGTCATCTGTCCCTGCTGAGTCATCTCTCGCGACTGAGTCGTCTTTCGCTGCCCACTCATAAAACACCACTCATCATACACCACTCAACATACACCACTCATCATACACCACTCGTCATACACCCCTCATCATACAAGACTCATCATACATCACTCATCATACACCACTCATCATAACCCAACACTGGTTACAGTTGATTGTTTTGTCAACAGGTAAGTTTGTACTGAAGGATGAAGTCCGGAGCGCGTGCGTTTGACTGGGGGACGCGCGTGTTTGAGAGAACCGGAACACTCCTATAGGTCAATTTGTTCTTATAGGAACGTATAGGAAACTTCCGCCGCCGGCTTGCCCGGGAACTGCTTGTATGTACATGCTCCCCCACTCACACGCTCCACAAGGCAGCCATGCACGTCCAAACTCATATATACATATATATGTAAATCACGACAATCCTGAATTGTGCAAATTTGATTTGTCATTACGTTCCATTTTCGACTGCCAACATTTGCCTCGGCGCGAGTCGTGGCGACCCCTTGCAGCAACCCGACCTGGAACGACATCGGAACAATCTAAGCAATTGTTGATCCAACCAATTGTGGTGTCAAACAATCAGGCTTTGTGTTTTCATAATGTTTTTCACCCTTAACGGGCTGCGGGTTGCGAAGTTGTAACATCAGCTTTGCACTGGCACACCTCTGCGACCAATGTGGAGACATCACCACGCAAAGCTTGAAGCTGCACCTGGGCAAACTCGGTTGTGACGCCACTTCACATTGAGTTTCGATGCGCAAGGCATGTTATTTGATGTTCTTTGCAATCCCCTGGGTTGCTGGCAGCAGCTTCCACGGCCGTGGCACCATCCATTTGCCCAAAGTTCAATTCAACATTGTCAGCTTCATGCACATTGGCTGACAACTTTTACTGTCACATGTTTTTTGGAGTTGCCATATGTCGGCGCATACCGTTCCAAAGTGTGACTGGGAATCATAGCGTGTGGAAAACACAAAGCAATGTGAGCCACGTTGGCATATTACAATGGGATATTTTACTGGGGCGGCCACCAGCTGTGCCTCGAAATAATAAGTTTGAAGTTATTACCTGGACCGCCCGGGCCCATGCAACATGATGATGTGTGCTGGACACGGCGGTGGCTCTGGACATTCATGCTGCATCTACGACCAAGGCGCGCTGATGGACCCAGATGTGGTTTGATAGGCGACTGTCCGTCCAGCTTGCCTTTTTCGCACGGTCTGGCCCCTGCATCGTGAAACGCAAATACACGTATCATGCACGGCCAACATAATGACATTACTCTTGGAACCATGGCCACGTAACCGTTTGACATTTTCACCTGGTCGGAGAAGATTGTGCCAACGGATGGGCCCCGTATATGTAGTCGTGTCAACTTTATCAAACAGCACATGGCGCGTGTTCTTGATGCTGCTACATACACCATGACTATGACGTTCGACGTGTGTTCATGATGATTGCTAGACACACCATGACGTGCGACGCGTGTTCATGATTTGCCCACACCGAGGGATTTGATGCGTACTTATGGTGTTTGCTAAGCGACATTCCACATGTGTTCATGATGATGGGTACACACACTATGACACTTGACACGTGTTCATGATGCTGCCACACGAACGGTAGCATTTGGTATCATTTGATCATTTGTTTTTGAACTCTGAACTCTTTGCTCGTGCAGGATAAAGGATATTAACGGAAATTGTTCGTGACCATGGCTGTCTTCAAGAACACCAGATCATGACATCCAGGCAAGACAGCTCGTGACCAAAACACAAGAGCCGCTCATTTTTTGCCTGATGCAATGGGGGGGTCTCACTGCCCCACACGGGGCATCACGGGGTTTTGATCGAGAATTGGGTGGAGAGAAAAATCAGCCATGTCTCAGTGTGGATCTTGGACATGCCGTGGAGCTGATGGCGGTCAAGTTTCTCTTCGGCCTCCTCACGCCATGCCTCGACCTCGCGGATCTTAATATTCTTAAACGCAAGGCGCCTGGTTTCAGCCTTGAACTTATCGTGGCCTTTGCCTACCAGCCTCAGTACCTCGCAATAGAGCTGAGAATAAAAACGCAAGTACGGCTCATCGGGTACTGACATGGCTGGAGTGGAATCTGGGACATCCCACAGCTTAGTTGACACGCAGCAATTGTTCCGGATGTCCCATGCAAGGCTGAAAAGACCGGCCGGAATAACGGCCTTGGTCAAAAAGTATCCATTCTTGCTCAGGCAAAAATCTTCCATGAGCTCTGGATGCTTTTCCAGCGTAGCCTTAGACGTGGACGATGTTCGAAAATTGAATGCCAATGCACAAACTCGAACTTTCGAATCTCTCTGTCGCACAGGGGTTCGAACTTGCAAATCTCTGCTCGCGCATGTGTTTTTTCCTGCGCGCCTTTTTTCAGCAGCAGGTCCTGGTTAGTAGCCATTTCTATACCGGCGGCTCCCGGATGTGCACGGCCATTTGTATACCGGCGGCCCCCGAATGTGCTAAAAGTCCAACAAAGGTCGGGACAATGTGGTTAGGGACCCCCCCGTCCGAGGAGTTCGCCAAGGGGGAGTTGGTCCGCTTCGGTGGAAGCTTCAAAGGGGAGGGGGGGCAACGAGGCGGCGAAAGCATGCATTGCTGCGCACCGCATACACCTCAGCCAGAAGTGGGTACAGCGCCTTCGCCTGGTTGCAGTTGCGCTTGGGTTGCTGGAAGCGTAGGTTGTTGGGCCAGAGAAAACAGAGCCGGCATGAAGGGTTCCCCTTTGTTTTCGCCCTCTGCTTATGTGATAGGTGGCGGGAAGTTGGCTTGGGCTGAGTGCTGACAAACATCCACAAACCGTGCTGTTGTGAGCTCGTCGTCGAGGGCGATGACGAAGGCTTTTGCTGCGAGCCCGGGAGGCTTCGGTGGGGTTCCTTTCCGGGACTTCTGAAGTGCTGTGAGCAAGTTGGGGGCTTGCCTTCTTTCGTGCGTGTGCATTCCTATCGTTAGACTGCACGGTTTCTCTCACTTTTCTGCGGCATCAGTGTCTCATGTGCTTGGAGCCGATGTTTAGGCTAAGCTTCGGTCACCTGTCGTGGCGGATGGTGAGACACATCCCTCCCAGCACCCATGGATCATTTCCTCCAAGGGCCCGGGTGGGCGGGTGTCTTGAGCACCAAATTCACACGTTCAAAAGAAAGTCCGGCAGCAAGTGAGTAGGCCTTGTAGCCCAGGCTGCAGCAGCGGCAGCACCAGCAGCAAGCAGCAACAGCAAGGCAGAACAGCGAACCAACAGCAACCAACTAGCACTAGCAGCAGCAGCAGCAGGAGCTAAGCGACAGCAGTCAACCAGCAGCGTGCCAACAGCAAACCAACAGCAGCAAACCAGTAGCAGCCAACCAGCAGCAAACCAACAGCAGCAAACCCGACATATACATTACCAAGCAACAAACGCCTCCACCCGTAGACACGAAATTGCATGGAGACACCGTTTCGCAACGACCTCACAAAAACCCTAATCAGACTGCTGACTGCTTTGCTGGAACCCCTCCCTTTCAAAGAGCTTTCGCCTATGGAATGCCATGGAATGCCTATAGCAACCACCAGGAACAAGTTCGAATTCATAGTATACTGGGTTCACTGTGCCATGCAGATCTGGGATCTGGAATCAGTAAGGTGGACAAATACACTGGGGTGCCGAGAGTTGCGCTTCTTAACTTCTATGACAGGAAAAACCCTTTCCCCTTAGAATCCTACGTGCAACATGTCGACACCTAAGTGGCGGTGGCTGAAAACCGTATAAGTACTATAAATTTAAACGGGTGTGGAAATCTGATAGTGGTGTACCTGCCAGGATCTGCCAGGCAAAATGGACGTGTCAATCCGATCCGCTAGACCGCAAGTGTCATGCTGCAACAGAGTAAGAAGCGCAAACTTTAGGGTTTTTGAAGTATGTTGCTTGCCGTTTCTAGTTTACAGTGTTTTGATGGCTTCCCCCAACGGCACACCAAGATCTTGAGCGCGATAGGGGTACACTGTAAACAAAAGCGCTCAGTACCACGTCCCCCGTCCTAAGCTACATGCGCATAGAATTGAATGTGACATATGCCAGCCACCTCCCCATTCTCATGAACCACTTCCTCTTCCTGGGAAGTGCCCAGGAGCACGCAAGCAACACAAAACAAAAGTCAAACGGGGGGGCTCCATGAATATGGCCTCTACTCAGTTAAGGGCCAAAGACGAGATGGGTGGCAAACATACGTACATGTATGGGTCCCCCGACACAAAGTAGGTTACGTTCCTTCACCTAAGGGGGTGAAGATAATTCATTGCAAAGCGTGCATTTTGTTGTCCAAGGTCTTGCACACTAACCCGCTGACCACAAAGCCGAGACCACCAAGGTCAACAGTCAAAAGTGAAGAATTGCTCTTTTGAAGCTGCCACCGCTTATCTGTCTTATCTTTTCACATCAAAAACACCGGCTGAAGCACAAACACGTTGAAAGCAGCTGTCTAGAACTGAAAAGTGTGCCGCTTGCAAAACGGCGCGCTTCACTAGCGACTTGGATCGAAGAAGCGCTTGTCGCAAACGATGATATTTTCTTATTTGCAATGATGTTTTTGTGCCAGTATTGCAACAAGTCTTTATCAAAAAAGATCCACACGTGACTAATTGAGGTCGGTTGTTAAAGATTTTGTTTACCCGTCAGGTTTTTGCTATGTGCGTTCCACGATGTGCCTATCATAGGCCCTCCTTACTGCCAACCATAGGGCCCAAAAAATTGTGTGTTTTCTCCAAACTGCGCAATATTCAATATTGGTTGTCGAGCTTCTCGATGACAGGTGTTGGTCCGCCGCTGCCGCTGCTGCCTTGTCTTCCCAGTTGCTTGTCTCTGTGATGGCGTTTTGGTCTCCCCAACAAGGGGCTAGACCGCAGTTTCACCACAGCCTTACTTACACCCACTGTCTCCATGGTATGGGCTCTATGCCGGTTAATTTTTCGCACCTTGTTCCGCATAGACGCGACCCCGCTCTCTCCAGACAGGCTCAAGAACACACCTTTATGTATGCTTGAGAGAATAGGTATGTTATGGGATGGTATATTTGAGAGAAGGGGGTCGACGACGGGTGGGTAGCAGCAGCAGTCTAGCAACCAGTAGACCAGCAGCACTAGCACGTCACACCACCAGCAAAGCAGCAGCAAACCGACGGAAACCGGCAGCAGAAGATCAGCAGCAAACTAGCAAACCAGAAGCAGCAACAGCAGCAAGCAGGCAGCAAGCCAGCAGCAGCAAACCAGCAGCAAAGCAGAAGCAACAAAACAGCAGCAATCCTGCGGCAGCAAACTGTGAGGTCCCGCAACAGCATCGGAAGCAGGAGCATAGGCCTTATGTTTTACAACTTTGGGCGTGGCGTCGTCAAATCCAACGTGTGTACTGTTGGCTTCAATGTCTTGTTTATGAAGTGAAGCACGCATTCCGAAAAGTCAAGGCGACTGTGTTGGCGGAGCGCATGCGAGACAGAGTCAACAAGACGTGGGCAGGCGACACTGGGCAAAGCCAGTGGTGAGCTCGACTTGGGTGTAGAAAAGCGAGACGGGACAGGCAAGCAGCGGCAAGCGCATGCACGAGGACCTATCAATAGGCTGCCTGTGCTGAGGGATTTAGTTGCTTTCAGGAATTGAGAGAAGCAAACGTGGAGAACAGAGTCATGCTGAGCTACAAAATCTCGAGTGAGGGCTGG